TCGCATGCAGCGCACCATCGCTCGGATATGCGTGACTATTCCTGGATGAAACAGACTATAAATGCTCATGAGATTTTAGGTGCGCCGCGGTTTTCTCCTGGAAAGTATGTGCCTGTCAGCGCGTTTTATCAACTTTTGGACTCATAAATTTTGAAGTAGGAAAAACGATCTTTCCAAAACATGTAAAGCGTATGAAAACTGCGAGGCAGGTCAGTGCTTCGATTACAAGTGGAAATATTACGCATCATCGTTCATGATGAACAACTGCATGAAATTCAGCTTCGGGCTGATTATAGTAATATTTGCATCCTCTTATCTAAAAAAACCCTAGAAATGGTAGTTTCTTACTTCTCAAATGTAGTTGCACGCCATTTGAAGCATTTGAAGTCCTTAGATTCTGAATGTTTGGACTATATGTCCCCTGTCTAACATTTTCTAGTTACTCCCCATTAAAGTGCCTTAATGTTCAAGTCGATCTTTTTCTTCTTACCTTTTTTTTTATCAATCGACATGATTGATGGCTGCTAATATGGGGAGGCACGCTCTTGTTACATCTACGAACTAGCTCGATGGTCACGAATTTATAACAAGAATTTTCTACATTGATATCACACATATGAGAAACATTTGAAAGGTGATGTTACAACAAGGGCTATATTAACAATAATGAGCTCAATGTGAACGGAACAGTATGTACAAGAAATTAGATGATAAACTTAAAGATTGAATCTTATTTCTCATTGACTATGCAAATTCTAATCGTCAGTTTCTTCTTCTTCACAGGGTTTATACTCCTCATCCTCTTGTTCCTTCTTTTTCTTGGGCACTTCCACATTGTGCGATTTTTGATGGAACACAAAAGAGATAGCACCGCAACTGAATACGGAGCGCAGTATGGAATCAGCAACCTGGAATTCGCTTTAGTCATTGGGATTGAATAGGTGGACGAACACTAGAAACAATCGACTGGGTATACGACAAGACTTCTATTCTGAATTACCAAAGAAACCTTTTGTAACCACAATCTGCATTCCATTCATCATGACTTTAACAGAGCTAAATTAGTGTTAAATTCGGGCCCAGAAGTGAACTTGTGGTGCATCCACCAAACAGAATTAGTACGATTAATTCGCCGAAGATGGGTAAACTTTATGTCAGCATTATTTGAACGTTACCTTTCGAGCATCTCTTTGCGAATGATGCCATAGAGCTAAATCAGAGGTGCAGTCGGCTGTTTCCGGTGGGTCCACGCTCTCAATTCCACTTATGCATCTTTTGCATTTCAGTCTGTAGAAAAAAACTCTGTATAATCACAATTTATAGAAAAGCAAATGAACTACAGAAGTAAATCTTGGAAATAAAATAATAGTGAAACACCTTCAACGAATCATCCCGAGTTTTAAGTATCATTCGGTGAAGGTATTTTACCACCATTTTTAAGATTTCCTTGAAGCTGATTTTGCAAAGAAAGCCATTCAGTCAAAATTTCATACGTCTCCCTCAAGCTCATGTAGACAAATATTTAAGTGCTATCGCGCTCTCTACTTTCGCAAGCTAGTATCTACGGCCTTCTTCCTTTTCTCTGATAGTTCTTTTTTCTTTCTGCATACGAAAATTTTTAGCATTCCGGCCATGTCCTAATTGACAGCAATGCTGCTTGGCAGTCATCTTCGTAGATGTTACTTTTGCAAGAAAAGGGCCCACCCACCTCTCATGTGTATCCGATGGCGTATCTGCTTCCAGCTTAAACAACTCTCTCAGTTGATCTGCGCTGAAATGTCGCGCAACATCCTGTCCAGCGTCAACCACACATGATGACAAAGCTTTTTTGTGTGTTTGTCGTTGGAACATTTTCTCTTCGATTGAACCCGTCTGAAAATTTGTCAAATCCATGACATCAATATCATTTCTCATTCAGAAGAATAGAGTTATAGTTAGAACAATAAAGCTAGTTCATTTACCGCCAGTAATCGATAAATGAAGCAGTTCTTTTTCTGGCCATCACGCCATACCCGTGCCATTGCTTGATCGTCATTGGCTGGATTCCAATCGGGATCGAACATTACTAACCTGTACAACTATTTTTAGCCTACTTTTATGGGCGGGGCTTGGATGCCTTACCTGTTTGCTCCTATAAGATTCAAACCACATCCACCAGCTTTTGATGATAGCAGGAAGCAAAATTCACTACTCTGAAAGTGAATAG